ATGTGAGTGGGTGTGAGTCAGAAGGGAGAAAGGAAGGGGGTGGGGGGGTGGGGGGGTGTCTTTGGAATAGCTTTCCGCCAGAAAGGCAAGTGCAGCAGCAGCAACAGGGGGAAGGAGGGGTGCAGGGTCGAGGGAAGAGGCACCTTGCAACAGCTGGTCTCAATTATCCGTGGAGGGGCTGCTGAGTGTACAGGAGCATGTGTGTTTGCAAGTGTGTGTGTATGTGTGTGTGTAAGGTTGAGGCATCACAGGGGGAGGGCTGAGACCACTGGCGCCAGGAGGGGAGCAACAGGTCAGGGAGGATGAAGATTATAAAAATACTAGCAGGCGGTTGGCCTTGGTCCTGCCGGCGCACAGTGCAAGTGTGTGTGGTGGATACTGCTTGTCTGCCACAGTGCCACAGGATGTGGAAGAGTGTGTGTGTGTGTGCCCACAGTGCATCAGGGCAGTGTGTTCTGCATACATCCTGTGAGATAAACCTTCCTGGTTGAATAACAAAGGCTCATCCTTTGTTTTTATCAATCAATTGGGCAGAAAACGAAGTCTCCATATTTGTAGTTTTTATTTTTAAAGAATATCAATCTGCAGTGAAATATATACATAACTTTGCATTGTTAGCAGTTGTTTTGTTTTAATATTTAGTAATTAATTGACATTTGTGATAATATAATGAATGAAAATTAATTTCCCCAGTAGAACAAGTTCTGCCAGAGAGCCACTGAGCAAATGTTTGCTGTATTCTCATGTAAAGTATTTTATGTTATGACAAAAACATTCTAAATGTTAAATGCTCATAAAATTTGGTTTTGGTAGTGGATATTTATATTGTATCATAAAATGATCAATTATCTTGAAATGAGCAGTGTGTCAGCTCCTGGTCCACAGCAACAGGACATACAGCAGCTTGGGACACATGAGTGTATGCCGCCCTCTGGTGTCAAACAGAGGTAATTACATGAGGACGCAACTGACTCATTTTCAAAGTGTAGACACTGTTTCAACCCCTCTCAACCCAAATAATCCCTCCATCACTGGTCAGTTGTAAAGGTAAATTAGATCTCGGTGCTTCATCCTATAAGGTCAAACCTAAAGATAAAACCGGTGTGACTTTGTGATGCACTGCCACATTATCGACCTCATTTTCGCATCCTTCCCTAAATGTAGAGCCTGCCCTTTTATTCTCACAATAGAAATAAACAAGCAGACATTTGAAGAGTTCATCACCTGCCAATAGTCCAGTCTATAGGCGTCAGAAAACGACATGGCCTGGACTTCTCTCTGTGACATTTGTGTCTATTGTAACAAAGTGGCTTCATTTGTCCTTTTCACCTGCTGCAAAACACAGCTAAACTTTCTGTCAGACTGCAAATAGTTAAGTGACGGCGGGATGTCATCGCAACTCAAGTGGAGGCGGGTCGGATGATCCGTGGTTCATCTCGGGTGAGTCTCGGCACAACTCGGCGCGTTTAAACCGGTAATAGAAAAGCCCTGTTAGTGGAGCCTTCTTCTTTGAATGGTATGTAAAGGTGACAGGACACGCTTGATTCATTAAGATCACAATACGGAGGCTGACAGCAGACTGTATGTTTATCTGTCATCTAAAAGAAAACCGAAAACTCATTGTGACGATTGCAACATCGCTTTCTTTTTCCACTGTAGCCTCGTGTCTCTGAGCCACAGACTGTAAGGAAATGAGACAAACCTAACGTTTCTTGTGATGAAAGTTCACCATGTGTGGAGGCAAACGTGTATGAATGGACAATGACAGGTAGGTACAACTGTTGGTTGAAGGTATATAAGGATGGACGAGGCCCATGCTGTTTATAGGATATATATATATATAGCCTATACTTGAATAGAGGTTAATAATAGGATAACTGTAAATGTGAGCGGGGGAACACTGGCAACTAAAAGCCATTTGGAGAAGCATATGAAGTATAAGCATCATTTCTACATTTAAAAAGTGATATTTTAAAGCCTTGTTGTCTTGTTGAAAACATATTCAAACTTCGTAACTGTCCTAGCCTGTTGCCTCTTTAAGACTATAAAAACCCCAGTAATGTAATATGTTTCTAAATAACAATAATGATTGTAATATTAGGATGTTATTGCTGTTGCCACTGTTGTTATTTGTATTGTAGGAACTTCCCTGTTTACAGAACTGAAACTATTGAGACTTTCCTGTTAGACCAAAGAGGAGTGTTTCCAGTTTCCCTGAAAAGTGGACAGTCTAAAGAGATTCTTCCTGCCTTCATGAACTTGCATGTTGCATGTTTTCTTTCCACATTGACACTATAGTGCAAACATTACTCATTTGTGTGCTTCTGACTTTCCTGTTAGACCAGAGATGGTTGTTTCTGTGAAGGGCGATGAGGGCAGAGCAGAGTCTCTGGTATCCAGCTGTCTCTCTCTGAAGAGTGATCAGTCCAAAGAGATTCCTCTTGCCTTCAGTAATGAACCTGGATTACTTGACACAAAGTAAGAGTTTTCTTCTTACTCTCTTAATAATCTCTCTTAATCTTTTTGAATAAATCAAGCAACTCTTCATGTACTGTATGTTTCCTTTCAACTACTCGCAAACATTTCCTGTAATGTCCCGCTTTGGAAAAAAAACTTTTCATGCCCCACCCACCTGCAAACCAATTTTTGACATAAGCAATAATATTGAGTAACTAAATGAGCCAAACTCAGTGTTATTTTTATTGAAAGTGCCAATTCACAACAGCTGTGACCACATATGTACATGCATCCACATGTTCATGCATTCAGACACACATCATTTCTCAAATATTTGTCCCAAATGCAGATTTTAGCTTCATAAGTTGTCCTCATTGTGTGCTTCTGACTTTTCTGTTAGACCAAAGATGAGTGTTTCTGGAAAGGATGACGAGGACAGAGCAGAGTTTGCTGCATCCAGTTGTCTCTCTCTGAAGAGTGACCAGTCCAAAGAGACTCCTCTTACCTTCAGTAATGAACCTGGACTGCTTGACACAAAGTTAGAGTTCTTCTTATTCTCTTAACCTTGTGGAATAAAGCAATGCTTCATGTACTGCATGTTTCCGGCCACTGTCACATCACATCACATTACAATAGAATATAGACTCGTATTCACATATAAAAATCTTGGCGTTTCCAGATCCAACTCCTCATTATGCAGCTGTGTGCTTATGACGACTTCAGGCTCGAGCATTTAATCCATGGGCACCGTAGGACAGACAAATGACAGCTAATGATTATGGCTCATCATTTTCTGTACAGAATTTCAGTCAGGGTACTCAAATCAAGTTTTTTTAGCTTGACATACAGGAAAACACACACACACACACACACAAATTGAAGATCAAAGTGACATGCACTGTGGAGGGTAAGCATCATTGTCAAAGATTAGGCATTAACAATATAATTTTAAGCAAAACATTAATGCACTACCAATTTTGACAGAACTAATTATTGTATCACTAATCCATTATGTCTGAGACATACAAGACAAAGTGTATAATTGCGCCTTCAGTTTCTCCTGTCAGCGTCAGACTAGATCAAAAGGATTAAGGGAAACCCTTCACAGGCATAACTGAATTTAAAGATTACTTCAACTGCTCCGCTGCATCTTATTTGTATTTTAATTGCTGTGATAATCCAATACTAGTAAGTGGATATATTAAGAACTAAATCCACTCAGGTTATACCATGTGCTGCTTTTACTGAGCACTTGCATTTATATTTAAGTGTTTATTATTCTACCTAGCACCGGCAAAATATTTTTGTTAATAACTATAAAATAACTATCTTTACAGAGAGAGGAAAAGGACTAGTGATGTTATCAAGGACCAGCTGTCATGCTGTGATTTGTGCCATGGTGTCCTGTCGGATCTAGCGGCTACCAGCTGTGGACACCGCCTCTGCAGGCAATGCAGTGACACATACTGGGAAGAATGTAAATCAATAGATTTATCATGTCCTCAGTGTGGAAAAAGAACCAGAAAAAGTCTTGAACTGCAGACACCCAGACACAACAGCACTGAACCAAGTAAGTGTATTCTGTTTCTAAAACAAAACTTCTTGTGTTGTGTCTTCAAAAAAAAAAAAAAAAAGAATTGTGTTGCAGCTAGTCACCATTTTTTATGCATAAAATGCTGTCAGGAATAAACACAACTTGGAGAAGACATTGTGACATCGACTTTACACTCAAGGTTACTCAAAGACTGAACTTTTGATTCTTTTTTAGGAGAGTCAGTATATTTATTTAACATTATTTTTTATTTTTCTGCTTACATTCTTTCAGTTACTGACAGTCTGCAAGAGGTCTTAGACAGACATAAGATTTGTCTCAGAAAAAGATGTGAATTTGCAATTGAAGGAACTGCTGAAACCCGACCTCAAACTCGCCTGAATAGGATCTACACTGAGCTTTACATCACAGAAGGACCGTGTGAAGGAGTTAATATCCAACACGAAGTGTGGCAACTTGAGACAATATCCAAAATGGAGACTGTGCATGACACTCCAATCAAGTGCCATGACATCTTTAAGGTCTTACCAGGCCAAACAAAGTTAATTAGAGTGGTTCTGACGAACGGCGTCGCTGGCGTTGGAAAAACCTTCTCAGTGCAGAAGTTCACTCTGG